CGCTGCAGAGCAGATGGACAGCCTCCTTGGACGCCGTTCGGACCGGACCTACCCGCTTGTGTTAAAATTGATCGCGCCACCGCCACCGAGCAGTTCGGCCAAGGTAGTCCAGGATGAGGGACACCTGCGCAAGATGCTGAGCTACGGTGTGGAGCAGTATTTTTATGCAAAGATTGCCCCGGAGCTCGCTGACGATGTGCCCGTGGCCAAGATTGTTGCCACAGCCAAGGCCGAGGATGTGAAGGGACTCGAGGTGGGTGAGGCGGAGCTTAAAGGGGTCACGGCCACTATTATGGCTGATTTACGGTCCGACTTCCCTGTCCCAGGGGGCAGACGAGAGAGCTTGAACCAAACCCAGGTGAGCTCCGCCCTAGGCTGGTTGGCGAGGTTCCACGGCAGTTCGTGGGAATGGCTTCCAACAGAGCTGGACGAATTCGTTTCCCCGCCGCTGCAGGAGGCCAAGATAAGAAGCGAGCAAGGGGAGGACAAGGGCGGACGGAGCATATGGCTGAACGGAGGGTACACGTACCTTGCAACGCGGCGGAAAGAGTACGAGTCACTCGTTGAAGATACGAGCTCGGAGTGGTCCGATGCGCTGTGCAAGCCCGTCAAAGGCTCGTCCGAGTCCATCGCAGAGATTGTCGCCGCCTTTCTCACGCCCAGCGGCCGGCCATTCGAGACGTATATCCACGGCGATGTCAAGTCGGACAATCTCTTCACCACGCGTTCCGGCGACAGGGTAGCTTTTGTAGATTTCCAGTATGTTGGTCTCGGTCTCGGGGTAAGCGATTTGGCAAAGCTATTCACCTGCTCGGTGCCGCAGGCCTTGCTCGCCAGCGAGGACGAAGGATCACTGCCGGAGGAGTTGGCAATGGAGAGCGGCGAGAGGAAGCTGCTGGAGGAATATCTCAACACGCTGCATGAATTCGCCGACATGGCCGATATCGACTATCCGTGGGATCTGTTTGTGCGACATTGGGAGACGGCGCTGGTGGACTGGTGTCGGTTCCAGGCATCGTGGGGATTCTGGGGAAACACCGTCTGGCTCGAGGCACGGGTTCGGTCGATTCTCAAGGACGAGGGATGGAGAGAGTGGCTGATAGCGCAACGCGACACCGATGAAATTTGAATAGACAGGGAAAGAATTTGATGATTTCCAGCTGCTCTCTGCTGTGTCCTTGATGGTTGTGGCGATCATCTGCTCGAGGTGTTGTGCATGCAGAGTGAGTGATGACATCATCCACGTCACCTCGCCATACCACCACTTCGACTTGGTGTGCGCAACACTGCTTCTTCGGGCTAGAACATGATGTTATGCATTGGATGGTGATTGATGCGGTGGATCGCGATTGATGTAGCGGTTGGATCGCGATTGGCAAAACAGGAAATGGGATGGGAGGCAACTTGTGGCTGATGGTGTTTATCGTCATCCCGTGGAAATTGTGTGCAACGTCTCGGGCAGGTGCGACCAACCCGAGAAACACAGAGGCAAATGGAAGGCTGCTTAAAGAAACACCTTCTAAGAGCCTGCACATCGCTCATTTTTCCACCTACAAATCTATTCCGTCACCGGAGACCCTAAGCAATTCACCCACTCCGAAGAGGTATTGAGAGAACAACATGTCGCGAGTATTGCTGCTTTGTTTCATACATGGATTCAAGGTACAAGCAAATTGCCTCCTGCCAGTGCCCGTCTGCGACTAACCAAGCCACAGGGGACCGACAACACATTCAAAGAGTTTCCTGAAGTACGTTTAATCCAGCCACTTGACGTCTATTTACATTAGTATGTAGCTGATTACTCACAACGTCTCGCCTTAGCATCTCCAACATCATGTAGCCAAACAGCTCCCCGATCACCGTGTGGAGTCTGTCGTCTATCCCAAATTCGAAACCAAAGGCGAATTAGAGCAGGCCACAGAGGCCTTTGTGGAATGGTATGCAGACAAATCAAGATGGAAAAATCCTCAAGTTAACACAATAATCCCCAAGGCTCAAAGAACGGGTGATTGACTGTCGTAAACGCCATTTCAACAACCCATGGCCGCCAGTCGACCGCAAAGTTGGTGTGATTCTTGTCGCACACTCCATGGGGTGAGTGGCCGGCCGGTCTTTTAGATCTTATCTTGCAAACTTTCACTTGCTAAAAATACCCACAGAGGATTCGTGGCAGCCGATGCTCTTTTCCTGACTCTGAACGAGCGTGCTGCCAAGCATACCCCCGGCGAGGGCGATGAGAACGACATTTCTCCCTTCCCTCTCATCCAAGGCATCCTCACATTCGACACCCCATACAATGGCTTGGCCCGGTCCATGTTTGTCTATGGCGCCTTTTCAAATTACTCCAAGGTCAGTGGCGTCTTTAATGCCATGACTGTACTCTCAGCCGCTGCTCCTGCCACCTTCGCACGACTGGGAAGCCGAGCCGCCGCAACAACCCGAGCGGCAAGCTCAGGCTCTAGGCTCTCTAGGAGCCCGGCTTGGACGACCTGGCAGCTCGTTGCCGTCAGGACAGGAACTGTCGGAGCCATCGCTGCTGGTGGTGTTGCCGCGTACATGCACCGGGAGGCCATCATGAAAGGTGTAAAGAGCATCCGAAATCTCAACAAGGACTCCGTCATCGACGGTTACCACCAAGGGATGGACGCCATCGGACAGGGGCTCGCATACATCAACCGCGGGAACGTGGGCAAGTCATTTGCCTGGCTGGCAGACCATTTCACCTTTGTCGGGGCTTTGATGAAGCAGAAGGAATTGAGCCGTCGCTTGGAGCGCCTCGCCGCCGTCAAGGGAGTGGGAGTCCATGACTTTTACTGCTCCCTAGGGGAAAACGGATACTGGAGTGGCGGATACTTTGTGCCTGAGAGAACGTTTTGTGCAGTGCCCGAGGAGGACCATGCCGCGTACCCCATATTCGAGAGAAGAGTAATGAGAGAGTCCGACGACGAGATCAAGGCTCATATGAACATATTCATACCCGAGAAGCACAAAGGGTACGACATCATGATGGATAAGTCGACCGAACTTATCTGCGCATGGTTCCTGAATGATGCTCAAATTGTTGACGAACCTACACTCCGGGAAGGCGCACCTGATGAAAAGGCGGAAGACAAGGCCGTGGATGAAGCGCTAGGGAAAGTAGAGGAGGAGGCCAAAGAGACGGAAGAAGGAGAAGAACTTGCCCACAAAGAAGAAGGCGGCGATGCGCTACCAGACGAGTCTCCCATCGACATTGCAGCAGCCGCCGCGCTGGTTCCGCTGCCTGGGAGCGAAGGGGATCTGGTCGACAGTGTCGATACTGACGACAAGCAAACAGATGAGAAAAGAACATATTTGCAGCATCTATTCCGGGTCGCCGAGCAAGCTGGGTCGGAGGCCAAGGGCTGGTGGCCAGCAAAAGTACATGTACCGGCTGTACCCTCGTCATTGCCCAAAGTACCCAATTTGCCCAATGTTTCTTCTGCCATATCCTCACTGGGACAAGTGTCCATGCCACAAGTGTCTATGCCAACTGTCACTATGCCAAGTGTCAATTTATTTGGAAAGAAGGATAGCTCCTCTACGAAGAAGTCAGAAGACGAGCAGACCATTAGCCCGATTGTCGAGGGTAAACCAGCAGCTACCGATGCTTCTGATCAGAAAACAGCACAGGAGACCGGTAAGCCAACCGAGGAATGAGTGGTTGAAAGAAATCTTTTCGATTCATATTTAATTTATATTACGACTTTGGAATTTAGACTGAATTCGTCCAGTTCCTTTAAACCAGCGAGACACATTGCCTTGTATTTTTCGCCACCTCCCGTATCATCGCCCACCCCTTCTCCACTGTCCCTCTATACTTCTCAGCCAATGTCTCGTCCCTACTCATCCCCAAGCTCTTCAGATGCTCCAGTACCCTGACCGTCCATGCGCCGTTATCCAGCGTGAACTCGGCGAGGGACACAAACCCCAGCCTCACGTACAACCCGTACCCTTTCTCCGAGGACGTGAGAATCGAAGGCACGCCCTGCGCATCCGCCTCGTCCAGCGCCTTCTGCAGCAGCTTCCTCCCAATCCCTTGCCGCTGACGATCCGGGAGGATCATGACCTGTTGGACCCCTAGAGAATGAGAGAATGAAAGCATCAGTGAAACTAACTCAAGGTTCTTGGCCGTTCAAATCCCAATGGCCACGCTTACAGAGATGCCGCCTCCCCGCAATCACCTCCTCAACCACCGCCTCGCCAGCATCCTGATCAGCGTTGAACTGCCCCCACAGCTCATCCATATGCCCCGGCCGATCCCACACCGTCGACGCCGGGGGCGCGGGTGTAGACTCCCCAGCAGCATCATCTGCCGCCCTGACGATCGTGTACCGTGCATACCCAACGACTTCTTTACTCGCCGACCCATCCGTCTCCTCCTTCTCCGCAACGAGGAACGTGAACTTGTCAGGTCTGGCGAGCGCCTGCCTCAGAGCGATAGGCGCCAGCTTCCGCGGATGGTCCTTGAAGAAGAGCTCGTAGAACTCGTGTAGAGGCTCCTGGGCGTCCATCTGCACGCGGCAGATGGCGTCCGCGTCGGCCACCGTGGCCGGCCTGATGGATATTTGATTCATGGTCGTGTTGTTATGAGGAGGGAGCAGTATGTAGAATGAATTGGCACATCGGTCGAAGTCTATGCTCGTACTATAGGGAACCTCTCTTGAGCCGGGCTTACTTTACTTATCATACCTATTCAAAGGGCCAAACCTTGAGAGCGCTCAATTAGGAAGCTCAGAATGTGAGTACGGGGTCTGGTGGAGTGGAATTTACGGTAGTTCAATCCCGCGTCTTTCGCTGTGACTCACGCCGTGCATCCACGAGCGATTCTTCATTCGGTGTTGAATAGTTAATCCCGAGGAATTTTATTCCGCAAAGTAATAATTTATATTGTACACACTTGACATAGTAGTAGAAGAAATGTAAGGAAGGATAATACACAAAGTCGGGGATGGAGTCATCGGCCACCACCTCAGACACCCTCAAACTCCTTTCCTGTCGTAAAGCTTCCGCAATTCCGATGATGGCTGTGCCAATAGCTCTTCAGGCGATCCGGTCTCTAGTATTTCGCCATGCCCCATTACAACCACCAGGTCAAAGTCACGGACAGTCTCCAACCGATGTACGACTTCCAGGACCGTGCGACCCCTCAGCTCGTCTCTAATGATCCGCCGGATTTCTTCATCTGTGGTCCTATCGATACTGCTTGTGGCTTCATCAAGCAGCACTACTTTGCTACGTGAGAGGAGGGCTCTCGCGAGGGAGAAGAGCTGCATTTGACCCACTGAGAAACCTAGATCTGTGACCTGCGCTTCTAAGCCGCCTCGCTCCTTGATCATGGGCCAGATCATCGCTTTGTCTAAAGCTTCAATAAGAGGCTCATCTGACTGTATTCTGCCTTGTGGGTCAAGATTTAGCCGAACGTTGCCTCCAATGCGTATGGGATCTTGCGGGACCGTGTTGAGACATGAACGGATGTGTCGGCGAGGCACGCTGGAGAGGTCGACACCGTCAATCTGCAGCTTGCCGGAGCGAAGTTCAACAAGGCGAAGCAGGGTGAGAATGAGTGATGATTTGCCGCTGTGCAAGAGACGGGTGTTAGACGTGGTTCTCTCAAATTACGACTTGGGGATGAGGCTTTGGTGTCAACTAACCTTCCGGACCGACCGCAGATGCATACTTTTTGCCCAGGCGAAATACTCAGTGATATGTTGCGCAGCACCACATCACCGACATCACTGTAGCAAGCGGAAATGTCTTTAAACTCGATAGCTCCCTGAGCAGGCCAGTCGCTCAACGGCAGCGTTTTCTCAGGCTCTTCGTCCTCGTTTGGGGTGTTTCGCATGAATATCTTGAGACGGGCGATAGCGCCAAGAGAAGTTTCCACTTGGGTCCACTGGTCGATGAACAGTGTGAGAGTGTAATTGAAGCCGAGGAGGTTCACCATAGCTAGGGCAATTTTTCCTTCGGAAGTAGAGCGTGACATCTTCAGAGCCATGGAGGCGAGGACAAGGGCCATGCCGGCGACGAACAAATCCAATACAACTTGTAGCCACCTCTGGATGCAAAACATCAAGTAAAAGGGCTTCTGAGACATGCCCAGGCGTCTGGTGTTTTCTTCCAGGAAGGCATCTGACCAACCAAAGGCGCGGATGGTTGAGAGGCCGGTGAGTGCCTCTGTGAAATGTGTATATAGTGGGGCTCTTAGCTCCAAATCCATATGTCTCAGTTGTTTGGATGTCCTCAAGTAAATTCTTTGAATAGCAAAAAGGAGGAGAAAGCTTGGGGGGATGAAGGCGCTGACGTAGGTAGCGCCAGAAGCGATTATCCCAGTCTGGGTAATAGCTTTGAGAAGCACTAGAAATTGACCATTAATCTCTGATATGATTTTATATGGAATGAATACTGACGAGAAAGAGACATATATAATGCCAAGGGGAGGGTTTGGTCCAGGAGTGACATATCCTGGCTGAAGCTGTCGTTTTCATTAGTACAGCCCTGGCAATAGGTATCATAGAGAAGAAATGCCATACCGATTGATTGTCGTGCCACAATCTGTGGCCGCAAAAAAGTATAGAGGTGCGCTGTTGACTTTATTTGAGCATATGAATCTTCATCCTCATACTTGATAAGCACTGACCGGCAAACAGATCGAAGAAGTTCCTCGTGGAGATGTGCCGCTGACTTGGGGATCCCAACAACTATGAAAAGTCTACACATATGATTAGACTCAGCCGCCGGGATAAAAACAGGGAGCATCTCATTTACCCTATCCCGAAGCTTGCAATCAGAATTGATGCACAGACAAGGCTGACATAGCCAAGGGGCCATCCGATGTTTTGCGGGCCTTCGTGTATTGATCTTTCGGTCCATGATTTCAACCACACCTCTGAGCCATCCGTGTTAACTTCGATTGCAAAGAAATCGGTACATTAATGTTCGAAGATATAACTTACGAGGCATGACCTCGAGGGCAGAGTGTAGTAGCTTGAGTCCAGCCAGTATGATCAAGAGTTTCCATCCGAATGAACCAAGGTAGATTTTGTAGCATTCCGAATCGCCGGTTTGGCGAGTGCTGTCAGTGTCAGGAACCGGCGTGGCCTTATCAGCCTTTTCTTCGGGCTCTTGGGCCGGCCTGTATGTTTTGGCATCGTCGTCGCCTCCATCGCCGTCATTTGACATGAGAGATTCATCGTCAAAGGTGCCCCATTCATCAGCCTGGAGACTCTGGTAAGTCACTTGGTTGCGGATAATACTCCCCTGTCGGAGGATTGTGATGTAGTCGGCCCCGGGCAGGAAGTGGACTACGTAGGGGGTCAGCCAGAATTAACAAAACAGCGTAGAAGCGATGCACAGACCGTTGCTTGTAGCAAGAACAATGGTCGTACTGTTGTGGCGAAGGAGGCCAGTTGGGCCCATCAGACGATGGAATATGTTCCGAGAGGTCCTATTGTCAACTCCGCTGAAAACATCATCAAGAACCAGAATGTCCCGTTTTTGGTAAATTGCTCGAGCCAATGCCTATGATAATTCAGGTGAGAATGATTGTTCTGATCTGTCATTTCATGAGATGGGTGGTGAGGCTTGACTACTTACCAAACGCTGCCTCTGGCCTCCGCTCAAAGCAACGCCATTCGACCCGACAAAGGTTTGATCACCCAGAGGAAACATTGCGAGGTCTTCGTCAAGAGCGCAACATTGCACCACTTGAGAGAACCATTTGTCGTCCAGGGGAGATTGGCCGATAATGTTAGCTTTGATAGAGGTGTTTTGTACCCACGGAGTCTGGTCGCAGTATCCGATACGATGATCCAGGACGGAGACGTATCCAGTTCCTGGGACCATCTCCCCTACAATCGCTTTGAGAAGTGAGGTTTTGCCACAACCAACCCGGCCGGTGATGATAGTGAACGCCCCTTGTGGTATTTTCAAATGGATATCATGAAGGACGGGAAGACCATCATCGCTTTGAAAACTTGCGTGGCTGATCGTGATAGCTAGTGTGTCGACTTCTGTGTCATTTTGTATCTCGGATCCCGAGGGAGAAAGCTCTATCGACTGATCTTCCGAAGGGGCAATGGTACCCAGAGTCGATTCACTAGAACATCTGAGAGTTGACCTAGAGCTCATGGAGGCAACAGGAGTCCTTCCACGGAAATCTTCTTGCTCTTCTAGATGAAGAAACGCTTGTATGCGCGAAAAGCTTCCAAAGACACCTGCTATTTGCATTATGGAAGTAAGGATCAATACAAGTGGCTGCGTAACCAAAGAAATTATTGATAGTAAGGTGAAAGCTTTGCTAATATCAAGCGATTGTCCTGCGTTGGGCCAGTATGTCGCACAAAGAACCATCATCACTGGAGTGATCTCGGAGGAGAAGGTTGCTGTGAATTATGTTAGCGAAATCAGAGTACGAACCTGGGTTTGCGGAGAGATTCACATAAGACCATGATCCCGGCCAGCAGCCATCGGAAACGGTAGGAAATTTTGATCTCGTCCAGTCTCAATGTGCGGACCAAGGAGTGGAAGAAGTCTGTGAGCCCCATCATCTTGATGCCTTTCATTTGGCCAAGCATGTCAGATGCCTTGGCTACTCTCCTCTGAATTGCTGCTTTCCAATCCACGAGCGCTGGCTCCATCGCTGGGCCAATGAAAGCACTGAGGACCGTGGTGACTGTGAAGTGTTAAATCCATACGCAGGATACGTTCACGGGGATATATCATACATGTCGTGGGAACCAATACAAGGAGGCTTGGAAAGCCAATTTGGCAATAGAGCAGGTAGATACCCATCGGGAGGTCGAGAAGGCTGCACCACATATCATGCAAGGACTCTCCAGCGGCGACGATTGAATCAATATCTGTCGACATGAGCGTGATCGACGCACTTTCCTCTGCACAGCAGGTTCTTAAACTTAACGTCTTTTTGAAAATAAGTGACACGAGCCCGCCGCGCCACATGGTAACAAGCTGATACGAAAGGTGCCTGTGCCAGGCGGCGGTAAGAGCTAGGCCAATGTAAATAAAGCCAGTAGCCGCAATCAGAATACCGGATATCTGAGACTCGAAGTCTGGCTGTGGACTTCCCACGAAGGCGATGACGGAACTAATGAGGAACGGTTGCGCGAACCCAAACCCACTGTACATGAGTCGAGGGATGACTCCGGCGAAAAACTGCCATTTATATGCCGAAAAGGTACATCTCATCAAAGCCATCTTGCTTGATTTGGGGTCTATATAATGAATGGTTAGTCCCAAAAGCACCTGGTAAGCCTGTCTGTCTGTAGTGATGCTTCACTTGCCTTGGTTCCAATGCGCCTCGAGCCTTTCCAATAACACCTGAGAATCGAACTTGTCATTGATATCCCCCAAGTCATCAAGATCAATACCGCGACGGAACCCGAGGTAGAACAAACGGTTGAGCCAACAGAAAAGTGTTCTGCTAAACATCCCTGCCGAGGCTTCTCTTGAAGCGTTTCCAGCGCTAGCCTTCACTCTCCACCTCGAGATTTCCTCGACCACGAGAAGAACAGCCTTGACCACGAGGAGAAATGTGAAGACACTGGCAAGAAAATCTGTATTATCTCTTAACCAGAGTGATCTGGCCATAGGGCCATGTAATAATATTGAAAGCATCAGGTAGACGTTCAGTAGCAAAGAAGGCTTTCCCGATCGCACATGCTCGGTAAAGGAGAGGGCGGCCATAACGATGGCCTCGACGATGCCCACAGCAGACTCGGCGACGGACGTCCTGACCTTTGGACCGGAGCCAAATATCCATAATAACAGCAATGAAAGTCGTGCGCTTCCGTATACGAACGTCAAAAACTATTCCACGCCCATCAATCAGCCACCACCCAAGCTCAAAAGATCAGCATGCCTCGAGACTCACCAGCTTAGCCCAGAGCAAGCGCCCCTTGAACGAACGGCGCTCTTTGCGACTAATATGCAGAATTCGAAGTATACCCAAGATGATAAACATCGCTGCTGGAAGCAAGGAAAGAAAACTCTGCTCGAATAAAAGAGTAAGGTCGAAAGTGTCGGCAAGGATAGGGCCGAAATCGTCGTCACCAACCATAGCTGGGATTATCCTCCTCTACCTGGGGAAGGATGACCGAACAATTGTACGCAGGAGAAGGACCGACATTGTTACGGGGAGTATTTTGCGAAGGAGAAAGGGTTTGCTGATGCTGCCGCACGAGAAAAGGGAGCGATGCCATCGCAGATGGGTAGAGGCGGCATCGGAAACTGGAAGACTATCTGAGGTCATGAATGCCATTCCAGGCATGTCAAGGGCGAGGCGGTCTGTCCTGCCTTCCTCGATACCGAGGGGCTGGAGAGCAGATAGAGTTTGGTTCAACGCTGGATGAGAGGGCCGCAGAAGATAGAGAGGCCCCGAGACATTTGCGACCTCGCCATAGTATTGACGTCTGAAGTTTGGTCAGGTTATTGCCATCCCTTGAGATACACGCCAAACTCCCGTTCGGCATATTTTGGATTTGAGACATGGCCGGAGCTTGCTTGGTTTGGGAGGAGGATCACGGCCGGCGAGAATCGGTGCCGTGGTGTTCGTGAGACGAACCGTCGAGAAAAAGAAAAGACTATCCGGAAGAGATGGCTGCATGTATGGATTGGACAACACGCATCTGCACCCATTGTCTGATACAGACACAGAGGATGGCGCAGTGAGAAGTGACAGGCACAATTGATGCGTGAAGAGCAGCGATTGAGCTCCTTCCCGCTGTCGGCGATAAGATAGACCGACTACCCATTCCCACATCGACATTCCAGTCGAAGGCATCAAAGAGAGCGCGCAGCTGCTTGGGCTCTGCGACACCTACCTCCTTGGACAATGATAGAACGAGGCAAGGCCGAAATCGCACCGCGTGGGACTGCAACATTTTGGTAATGACGTTATCTGAAAGCCCGTTCATGCTCGGTTTTCATGAACAGCCCCTCATGAGTGACGGGGCATCGCTCAAACAAACTACACCTTCTCCCTACGATTCTGCCGTGTTGTTTGCCCATCTGCCAATTGACTGTCTGACTGCATCAAGAACACCAGCTACAGTAGCATCACTCCCCCTATCAAGATTGGCATAACGGTTGGGGAGGTATGGTACTGATCAGTGGGATAACCAGATGGTGTTATTTATTACGTGGTAGCATGGAAAAGGTTTGCTGAATAGCAAGAAACCAGCTATCGAGTACCAGACGTCACCAATCACCACACTTTGAAATTGACGTAATTCTTTTCTGGAAAGCCTTCAATCTCAGGAAATTACCACAGCAGTTGATCCCTCCGACGAAACCAATCTGGGAGTAAATTCACACTGGGAAACGCGTGACTCCTGGCCCAAATTAGAACCATTGCCCAACCTGAAAGCCTGATATCGTCCTGCTGCTCATGTCGGAAAGTTCCCAGCTATTTCGTCGCCTCATTACGCTCGACTTGACGTTGGATTTGGGCAGCGAGTGACCGTGGGGTGCGAGCGCCGCCGCCTAGAACTCGATTCTGCCAGCCAACCCGGTCAGTCACTGCGGCATCCGAAGATCAAGGAAATCAGGGACTAGACAAACCTGTCGCGGGTCATTGGCGGCTTTGTGCGTAGTATCTTTGGTTGGAGCTGTGTAGTTTGCTGCAAATTTGCGATGGCTATCAAGCAGACTTTGGGATGGAGCTGGATGGTTGTTAGAATGGCTTGGAGGGGCGCCACGTAGATGAAGAGGTGAAGCGGCAACAAACCGGGATCATCGCGATGAACCGGCCCAACGATGTTGGGCTGCGATCCAAATTTGGCAGGCTCTGATGCGCTTTTGGTGGAAGTCATGGTTGCTAGATTCGTTGCAAGAAACTTGATAATTGTGGTGCAGTGATACGAGGTGATAGGAACATAGTCTAGATATGAGGGCGGGTGAAGAGGTAAAAGAAATGACGGGAACATAGTGTAGACATCACAGCCGAAAGATCATGCGCACACATCTCACGTGGCTGATGTTGTTTGTGGCACGCACCTGCTGAGAGGTAAGTCGAGGTGGACGGTGAGCGCAACGAGGGAAGGAGCTCCCCTCGGTGAGAGTTCCCACAGTATCATCCACCACATTGCGAACGACTTGGTTTAAGAACAAGCCATAATGACTTGAGGTGATTTCACGATAGTTACTCATGCTGATACACGATTGAATCTGATGCAAAGGCGAAAGAAATTGTATTTCTATACTAGTAGCAGCGCTATGTGTGCTTGCACCTATCCACCCTTGAGATTTTCGGGGATAACCTCCATACTTCACTTTCCATTTTCTCCAAATAACAAGTTCTCAAGAAATAAAGGCTTTTCACACCTCCATACACTTGTCAATATCTCTCATCCAAGATTCAACTGCTCAGCTCCCACCTCCAGCACGGTGGACACGGTGGACACGATGTAGCATCGCCATCCGCACAAGCTTTCTTAAGCCTGGAAAGGAATGGGGATAGGCCCGCCCGTAACCTGGGGGAGAGAAGAGGCAATGGGAGTAAGCTCGGCAATAAGCTCGGCAAGAGAAGAAAGAGCAGCAGTAGGGATATCAGTAGGGATATCAGTAGGGATACCAGTAGGGATACCAGTAGGGATACCAGTAGGGATACCAGTAGGGATACCAGTAGGAATAGCAGTAGGAATAGCAGTAGGAATGGAAATGGGGATGTCACGCTGCTCAATAGCCTTGGCGCGAAAGTTGGTAATACCGCGACCGAGAGAGTTGTGGAGGAGATCCAGCTTCTTCTCAATGCGTTCCTTGCATCCGGGGACAATGTTGACGGCCGACTTGGCCAACTCCTCGAGGGCATCGGCAGCAACGCTCAGAACATTAGCGATGATGCTCACAAGGGGTGTTCGGCCGAGGATGCTGTCCTTTCCGATGATGGAGTCCACGGCGTCACGCGCCTTGTCAACAAACTGGGATCATTGTCAGTAAGGGGAAGAAACAAAAATCTCATGGCCATTTCTCACATTCTCAAGGGCGTCGCAGATCTTGTCCTGGTCGCTCTTCCCAATGTCCTTGTACTGGTCGGGGTTCCCGATCACATCGACAGCGTCGACAACTCCCTCAACGAGCTGACCAAACTCGCCTGCGATTCTCTGCACCACGACAGTCAGCTTCCGATCTTTCCATGGGGGTTAATATTGAACTACATACTGGGACGCTTGTAATGATCTTTGTACTATCCAGGCTCGCAACTGTCTGGATGATGTCGCTGGCGATATTGGTCAGACGCTCAAAGGTCTCTGCGATCTCGCCTGGGCTGACGGTCGCCTGAGTCTGGGTTGCAGACAGAGCAACAGTGACGCCGGCGAAAAACTTTGTGAAACGCATTTTTGAGGGATTATAGAGGAATTGGTAGGTTGTGATATTTGAGATGCTCTTCTTGTGATTGACTTGTGTTTGTGATTGAGTGGATGAGTTGAATAGGATGGGATTGAGGCGGGAGCCCGCTGGACTTAAATATCCTGAGATGGACCAACCTCCCTTCGTCTATACATCATATCTATCTATTTTCTAAGAAGTCCAAGATGAAGTTCGCAGCAGTGTCAGTAACCTGCGATCGGGCGATGCTGCATCTTGAGAATGTGATGGCATCAGTCTCGGAATGTCTAAATCGGTGATCGCCTTGAGACATCTCCGCTACAGACCCTCTTTAGGTCCATGACTGTCATAGACATTACTTCTTCTCCGCCAACTAGTCTCGAAAATAGTCTCGAAAATTCAAAGAGATGATGTATAAATAATGTGACGCGGGCGATCCCGCGGGCCGGGAGGGTCGTGTTATTCCGGCAGGACACTACCCATTCCTTGTCTCCGCATGGCGTCCACTACCTCATCTGTGAAACTCGCATTGCCGGAGCTGTGCATTCTCTTCGAGCCTCAACTTGATATGATAAATGCCTCCTGGTATGTGGCAGCATCCATGGTTGGAGAAAAGATCAGCTGGCTTGGTTGAACACGGCAATTGATGACCAAAAGCTCCAAGAAGCGCCAACGAAAATGAACCATACAATGACTCGTCGAGAATTCAATTACGCAGTAATTAAGGGAGACGCAGCAGTCCATCAGTCTAGTGATTCACCGTAGAGGAAATGATTGATGGTAGGATTTCAGACTACCTAAGTTTATGGAAGCAACCTCCAACGACGCACACATTGACACACACATTAATACCTGCATTACACCTGCGTTTAGAACATCGCATCGTGGAAGATTCGAAATGAAGCGAAAATAAAGTGATACAAGCCCAGATAGCCAGTTCATTTCCTAGAATTAACACTTATAACCACCCCAGCAAGACGCAGGCATAATTGCCAGCTGGCTTAGAGAGCTTCTAGTGACAAACAAGAGAGAGGCTTCCGGTACTCTGAAAACTTAAATGGCGAGCAGGACAGCAAAGGTACCGGCCAGGGCAACAACGCCGAAGCCTGTGGTGGAGAGGCCGGCAGCCATGGCGGTGGGAACGGTGGTGGTGATGGTACCGTTGCTGCTGGGAGTAGGGATGTTGGAAACCACGGAGGTGAGGCCGCTGGAGGTCACGCGGGGGCCATCGCAATGCCTGGGGAGTATGTTAGCCAGGTATTCCACTTTGTAGGTCGAAGTAGTGTTTGGGTAGACATGAAAGCTGTGTATAAATATGGACGGCAATTTATCTTACCAGTGGTCGCCATGAGGCTCGCAGCCAACGGACTCGGTGGGGGATGGCTTTGTAGGAGTCGCGGAACCTTGGCTATGGTCGTCGTGGTCGGCAGATGTGGTTGTGACAGCAGCGGCAGAGCTGGAGGGAGCGTTGGAGAGAGCGCTGGAAGGAGCGCCAGAGGTCACGGCAGGACCCTCGCAGTGCCTAGAAGTAGATCGTTGTTAGTTATGACATATATTGTAAACCAGTATCCAGAGGGCCTTCTCACCAGTGGTCTCCATGGGGCTGGCAACCGACAGACTCGGTGGGAGATGGGCCAGGGTCAACAGTAGAGCTGTGGTCGTGATCATGGTCTTCGCTGGCAGAGGTAGTGGCGGCAGCAGAGGTAGCAGGGCCTTCGCAGTGCCTGGTTTGATGGTTAATGAGTCGATACGGGATGTGTTATAGGTTAGGAATCATCTTCACCAATGATCACCGTGGGGCTGACATCCGACAGACTCGGTGGGAGATGGGCCAGGGTCGGCAGCAGAGCTCACAGCAGAGCTGACAGCGGCTGAAGTAGGGCGAGGTCCCTCGCAGTGCCTAGAAGGGCGGCAATGTAAGCCTCCATCTCACTTGACTTGCTGAATATCAGGGTGGAAGGTCTTGTTACTAACCAGTGATCACCATGGGGCTCACATCCAATGGACTCAGTAGGGGAAGGTGCCTGAGCGTACGAAAGGGACGCAAGTCCAAGGAGAGCGACAACCTGAGCGGCCTTCATTTTGACTGTTGTTGAGTTGAGTGAGTGAGAGAATCGGTTGTACTTCCGAAAGAACGAACAAGAGCCAAGCGAATGTAGGCTAACTTTCAATGAAGATGCTGCAGCTGTAGAGACAGAAAAGAGCGGCTGCCAGTTTGCAAGAAGACCAGAGCTCGACTTTATACGAAGGCCTTACCTACCAGGTCCCGCTCAGCTGCATTTTACAACAAGTCTGATGCATTCAGCTGTGCCCGATCTTGGCATCCCGATGAAATCCCATCTGGAGTCACTTGATGGGTGGGTGGTCAGTCCACCACTGGGATCTCCCCATGCTGATGGTTGGTAGGATGCATGTTAGTAGATGAGAAGGGGTGGGTCGTTGCATCTTGGCAATGCAAGATTCAAGGGAACGGAATGACTGGATTCGTCCAAGTAAGGTTAATATTACGCTCTTTTTAGTTTTTGAGCGGCTTCTGCGGGCCTGATCGCCAATCTGGGAAGTTCGGTTTCGTGGTGGAGGGTGAAAATGAGGCCAAGCTGATGGACATCAAGGTTCTCAGCTGCAGCCGAGGAACGCCACAACGGATGAGGATGCCTGGCTCTATGTTGCTCTCCTACATTGGGTGAAAAGATTAGACAATGTTTGATCAAGTTTGATGAAGTTAGGGCTTGTCTTTTGCTTTCGGTAGATTTCTGGTCGAGTGACAGTCTGTCGCCAAGCATCGGCGTTAGACGCCCTAATCATGTTCTGAACACCATTGAACCCATAGATCAAACGGCTCCTCGTAATTTAGAACGTACTATTTTAGGCACAAGCACAAGCGTTCAGCAGCTGTTCCACCATTTGACGCCATCTGATGGATTTGCTAGGCCAGTTGCAGAGTGGCGGCCGCCGTCCGAGCTTGCTTATCCCAGACAGCTTCAATTTTTTCAAGGAAGTCTCTAAGCAGATCTTTAGCCCTCGCAGCTTCTTAAAACATGTGAGAGTGGGTGTCTTTGAATTCACGAGAACCCCAATGGCCCATCCTCTACCTCCGGGCCTGCAAGGTACCCGGCGATCTCCGTACCGTAGGAACTAGATGTCGACCCTCCCCTCCCCTCCCCTCCCTCCTTCTTTCCCCGCCCAGTGGTAGACCTAGAATAGAGAGTTTTGTTTTTCTTCTTCTTTCTGAGCTATATTTGGACTCTCGATAACCAAAATCTGCCACAAGACTAGGTCTTAGTATTCCCGTAAGCTTCTCAGGTGGAAATTTTACCATGTTATTTGCTTATTACATCCTTTCTTCATTGCTACAGACATTTTCGTTACCAAGGCCTCTCTGTTAATCTAATCATACTAAGGGTCAATTATAAACCAAAGTTTTAATTTCAGGAAGATTCGTGCCCGTCTGTCTTGGGTTCTATTCAGCCCCACGCTTCTTATCAATTCTCACTCAGCTTGACGAAATTTAACTGAACATCTAGAAAATACTCGTATCCAAGATGGAAGATGACTTAGTGCAAAATGAAAGGTTCTTTGTGCGAAATTAACAGTTTTCATCTGCCTTGTCTTTTATTACAGTGTTCGTTGACTGTGCCTTAGCCTCTCTAGAATGTATGCAATGATCAGGTTTCGGAGGTTTCTCCGAGTGTATTCACTTTCACCACTGCCCTTGGAGATTTGTATCACGGCGTGGCTACTACAATAACTTCTAATAAGACAGAGTTGAAAGAAGGATAAGCCCTTGCTACGCAGCAAGACATCTACCGAGCCTGCGTTCTCTAGTTCCTCATGTGTAGACGTCGGCCTAAGAATGTCCTTTTACCGACTGAGTACCGACAAACACCACCCCCAACTTCGAAACGCCAAACCTGGCTCTCCATTTCCACCGACCCTGACCGAATGTAACGCGTTGTTCTCCAAGTCTCATGCATATTGTTGCCTCCAAGCTTGAACTCCAACATCCATCTGTCGATCCAAGTCGCTCGGTCTGTCCGATCTTCCCCGACTGACCGACCCATTTCCGCCCGTCGGAAAACAAACCGTGGTCATGAGGCTGGCTAAACCACTCAATTGACAACATACTCCACTCAAATGTGCTCCTCCTCCAGATTTTCCGCCCATTCAGCAGGGATCATTTCAACTTGGGGTTGAAGCGACGGCTAAAAGCGACCTTTCCCCTCCCCCACACTTTGCTTAGGAGAATGTAGCATTGGATAAATACAGAGGTCCGACCCCGGGATGACTCCCCAATGTTGATCGCAATTGTCTTTTTTCCTAGTCTAGACAGCTTGTGACCATAAAGTCGAGCTCCTCGACATCTATACCAAACCATGTTCCGCGCTGTGGAGGATCGGCCCACGCCGAAGGAGGTGTACAACTGGAGGCTGTATTTCGAGGCTTCGGTGATTGCGACCGGTTCTTTTCTGTGAGTCCATCTACCGAGTCATTTTGAGTGAGACTGGGTAACATTGACATTAAATTTCGGCCAGGTTTGGCTACGACTCGGCATTCATCGGCACTACAATCGCAAGAAAGAGCTTCAAGGATGATTTCAACGTATACGGCCCCGAGGCCAACAACATCTCAAGCAACATCACCGCTTCATTCCAAGCAGGCGCTTTCTTCGGCGCTATATTCTGCTTTCTCAGTAAGAACCACCAGAGTCTTACATTTGACATACCTTCCTGATGTGGTATATGGGTAGTCACGGAGAAGCTTGGTCGAAAATGGGCACTTCAGATCGCAAACGTCGTCTTCATGCTCGGCGCTGTCATTATGACTGCCGCGACACACCAGCTATCCTTCATCTGTGAGCTTCACTTTCCCTGCCCCTTGTGCAGAGAGCAGGCTGACTTGTTCAGACGCTGGACGTGTTCTCACGGGCTTGGCCTGTGGTGCCATCACCGCCACCGTTCCGTCTTATATCGCCGAGATTTCAGTTACATCCATCAGAGGCATTCTGACTGGCTTGTTCGAAGTCACATACCAGTCTGGTTCCCTCATTGGGTTTTGGATCAACTACGGCATCAACGTCAACATGGATCTCACTTCTACGGCGACTTGGAGGATCCCCATGGCGGTGCAAATAATCCCATCCGGCTTGTTGCTTATTTTTGGGTGGTTCCTTCATGAGAGCCCGCTCTGGCTTTTCCGAAACGATCGAGATGATCTGGCGGTACAAGCGTTGCAGGATCTGCGTCATCTCCCATCAGATCACCAATGTAGGTTTATATGTGTTGAATGCTGGTAATTCACCAGAAGGAGATTGGTGCTAATGGTAATAGACCTCCAAGAAGAGATTCTCCAAATCCGCATCAGGCTCGAAGAAGAAGCTATCATTGCCAAAAAGTACGGTTCTGGTTCATGGTCATACTTCCGTGGTGCTCTGTTCGAACTCTCCCGCAAGGGAATGTGGAACCGTGTTCTGCTGGTCTTTTGTTCCTTTGCACTCCAGAACATGTCTGGCGCAGCTGGTACGTCGAATCGAATTTCGCATTCTTTTGACATGACATTTACTGACAATGGCAAACTTCAAAGCGATCAACTACTATTCGCCCACGCTTTTTGGTTCTCTTGGTATCACCGACGTGAGCTTGTGGACCGGAATCTACGGCCTGGTCAAGGCGGTGGCTTCAATCATCTTCTATGGCGCCCTGATCGACATCTGGGGTCGTAGGAACCCGACCATTATCTCGTCGCTGGCTTGCTCCCTCTGCCTGTGGTTCGTGGGCGCGTATGTCAAAATCGGGCACCCAGCCGACATCATCAAGGCTGGCGAGGAGCTCTCGCCTTCAACTGCGGCCGGTGGAAAGGCTGCAACGGCTATGATCATGATATATAGTGTGTTCTGGTCGTTTGGTCTCAATGGAATTCCTTGGATCGTCTCGGCCGAAATCTTCCCCGGAGCGCTGCGTAACTTGACAGGAACATGGGCAGCCCTCTGCCAATGGTAAGCCCGCCCGGCACACCTTGTGCCTGGAAATCCATTCATCGAGACTTCTTGTTGACGATTGTTCTTTTAGGCTTGTTCAATTTGTGCTCACAAAAGCGCTCCCCTACATTTTCGCGTCTTTCAATTACGGGACTTGGTTCTTCTTTGCTTGTTGGATGCTTCTCGCTACCATCTGGGCCTTCTTCTTCCTTCCCGAGACCAAAGGAAAGACTCTCGATGAGTTTGATATCATCTTGTAAGTTGGGACAAGGCTTGTACTAAGCTTTTAGTGATTGACACTATACTAACACCTACCTCCCAGTGGCTACACAGAAAACAGAATTACCCCAATGTTGGCTTCGAAGATGATGCAAGGAGATGACAAAGACGATGTTGTTGAGGAGACAGAGCACAGGCTTTCTTAATGGGCATACGTAGTACGCTGTAGGAAGGCTTTAGGACGCCCGGACCAAATTTACGTGGGAGGGCACACAAAACCACTACCTCCGCCTCTTTCTCTGAGGCTGGTCTATAGTCTCTTCTAAGATGATATCCAAGACGCAATATCAGTCGAATCCATTGACAGCCCTAGCTTAGGTTATTCCTCAACACGTATATCACGAGGATAATTAGCTTGGAGTTCGCTGCTCGGTGTCCTTGTTAATGGCCTTGCATTAGGTTCAGCTGTAATAAGTAAGGAACAGCTGTGCCAAATACTTATATTAAGCAGCCAAGTGCTTCCAAGAGCTCGCTCCACCATCAACCAACAAGTCCTGGCCAGTGTACCAGCTGCTGGCCTGGCTACACAAGAACAGAACACAGCCCTTCAATTCTTCAGGATATCCTGCCCTGCCAAACATGGTCTCCTTGTTCATCTGGTGGGCGAAACCGGGGTTCTCCTCGGCAACCTTTGCATACATGGCTGTCTGCATGGGCCCCGGGGAAAGTGAGTTGACGCGAATGCCATACTGAGCTAGTTCCATAGCCATGGGCTTTACCAACCCACGCACGGCCGCCTTGGATGCAGTGTAGACGCTGATGTTCTGAACAGCCGTTCCGATGTGTGTTGCGACGCTTGCAATGAAGACAATGCATCCGTTGGACGTTTCCTGTCCCGCCGCGGGCTTGCCAGAGGGTCCCAGCTTGCGGAACATGGCGTTGGCGCATGCCTGCGCGACGAGGAAAGAGCCCTTGAACTAAAATACTGTCAGATGGTTTGCATAAATAAATTTCTTGTATCATCTTACATTAACGTCAAAGGTCGTGCTCAAATTCTTATCGGAGGAGGTGAGGAATGACTCGTCCGTGACGACACCGGCAGCGTTAATGCTGAATGTAGTTCAGTACAAGCGTCCACGTATATCAGGTGGAATAACCTACTTGATATCAACTGAGCCAAAGTCCTTCTCAATCCGCTGGACTGTATTCTCAACCTGCTCTCGGTCTGTGACGTTGGTGTGATAAAACTCGAACTTGGCGCTATATTTGTTCCTTAACTCCTCAAGGGCTTGGTCGGGAGATCCAACATCGAGAATAGCAATGCTGGCACCAGCTCCTGCGAGAGCCTCTGCAAAAGCAAAGCCGAGGCCGCGGCAGCCGCCAGTCACGACCGCAACTTTGTCCTTGAGTAGAAACTAAACGGGTGTCAGTGTCTTTACTTTTGAAGTAGGAAAGGGGGGCAAACCTGATCCATCTCGTTCGAAGGAAGGCTGGATGGTCTTTATTTACTGTGACTACAAATTTGTTCTTTTGTTTTCATAGACTTGGCATGAATCAAAACGAAGCTTTATATCGATCAACTGGGGGATTCTCACACTCTTCCACTAAAGCAATCAACCCATAAAGACTTCAACGTCAAGTGATCATACGTAGGTACGTAACTTAGTCTCGATTTGTCAGTGTCATCGGAGCTTCTCCTCGGAGAGTCCCGAGACCCAATTTTTGCGCTCTCACCATCAGGGCCCACCCCTCGGCTGCTCCCCTCGGAGGCTGTCGGTATTATGGAAATAATGCAAGGTCCAAGCGGTGGTCACAGATGTCATTCACGAATCCTCTGCGAGTTGGGTGCCGGGGGGGCACCATATATACGCAGCCGCAATCTCATGGGAGTTTGAAATTGGTTAACTCTTCTATCTGATCTTGCACAAACACTTGCTCAACATGACTGAGACAAAGTTCACTTGCCGCTGGGCGCTCCTTGGCCTCTCCAATATTGCCAAAACGTTTCTTGACGACTTGACGATTCCCCAAGATGGGACAATCCAACACATTGTGAGCTGCGTGTCAACAACCAGCTCCAAAGAAAAGGCTCAGCAATGGCTCGCTGAGCGCTCTAATTTGAACCCTGGAGGCGTCAAGATCTATACCACCTTCGAGGAAATGCTGCAGGGCGGAGGGTTCGACGTCGTTTACATATCCACCCCACACCCACTTCACTACGCCCATGCCAAAGCTGCAATCAAGCATAGACGACATGTGCTAGTCGAGAAGCCGGCCACGATGAACAAGGCCCAGTTCGAGACCCTATCAGAACTCGCAAAGTCTGCAGGCGTTGTCTTGATGGAAGCCATGTGGACTCGATATTTGCCCGTTGTGCAATACTTGCAGGAGATCCTGCCCCAAATTGGCAAGGTCAAGCGAGTCTTCTCCGACCTCTCTGTGCCAATTGCGGACGAAGACATGCCTCGCTCCTCGCGACTCTTGGACAAGCAGGCTGGTGCTGGGGCAATGCTTGATATGGGTGTGTATGCACTCACATGGGTGGATCTTGCGTTCAACGGATCCCCAAGCACCAAAGTTGCGTTTGCACAGACTATCCCGTATGACAGTGGCAAGGATCTCATTGATGACATCAACACTGTCGTTCTCAACAGCGGAGAGGACGGTGGTCAAGTTGCTATTGTTACCACGAGCATGACCCTACCTGGTTCAACAAAACACAGTGACAAACTTGCTGTCGATAAGGTTGCGCCTAGCGTCCGGATTGAGGCCGAAAATGCTCAGGTTTCTATCCCCTTCCCCTTGATTAGGCCCCAGGAGCTTCACATTGAATGGTATAATAAGGATAGGCTGAATGGGGATGGCTCTGAGGTGCGAGAGACTGTATCTAAGCCGGTAGAAAGAGGATGGGGCTTATGGTATCAAGCAGATGTAATTGCTGGAGAGGTTCAAAAGCGGGGAGCTAGCCGTGGCCAGGGAACCGGCCTAGTCATCGGAGGTGATGAGACCGTTCGAGTCCTTGGATGGATGGACACTGCCCGAATTCTCTCTGGTATTGTTTATGATGACGCACTAGAAGCTGCCTGAGCATACATAGACTAGATATGAAAGAAGATAGCTAGGTGTGGCCATAGTACTGAGGCTAAGCACGGTTGTACTACGTATTCATTGATATGAATACATACAATAATATGGGCGTGCCACTTGCTTGATTCTTTCCCTCTTTAACCTTCTGGAAAGCTGCCATCATATGCACAAGCAATTCTAGCGTTTAATTGAAGACACTTTTGAATTATTATGTGAATTATTAGGTTTTCATGGGCTCATGATAGTAGTCTAAGACGGTTACCCCAGACTGCTAGCGAAGCTATCAAGTATTGAGGCATAAGTTTGTAATTGAAAACAAGAATGTGACCTGAAGAATCCTTGCAAAACCGAATATCGAAACCTAGAAATATAACTAGCGCTTAGCTGAAGCTGAAGCTGTGGGAGCGCAAGAAACCCTGGCTGGTATTTCGCCCATCGGACATCCTCCTCGGAGGGCCTCCGATACTGTGGGCCCTATACATTATGCTGAGCTTTTGATCCATGCGGGTTCCCCACATCATCTGGGACGAACCCACAGCCAGTCTGTGGGGTTTGGAGTCTAGAGTCCAGACTCTTGGACTCTGGGGCATGGAGTATGAATCATGCTGACAAGGCCCGTGACAAACCTAAGAGAACTACAAAAGAAGGCCAGATCCTCGATGAAAGGTATGTTGGTTCTCTCAACCTGTTCAATTCGTCTCTACATTCATATCATCTTCAACCTCCAGCTCACAATGGGCAAGCAGCCTTATTTCGGCCTTCGGGGCAGCAAGCTCAGCTTTGCAATCTTTATCGTTGCCAGCGTAGATCTCATGTGAGAGACTCTATCTTCATTGTATTGATATAGATGACTAATAGAATCAGGCTCTTTGGCTATGATCAAGGTGTTATGGGAGGTCTCTTGACCCTCCCTTCATTCAATGCCAACTTTCCTGAGATATGCACTACCCCCAAGTGCACCAGCAACATGTCGGCTGCTGAAATCAACCACCGATCACTTATCGAAGGTTTGTTGAGTATATGGAAGATTTTGTATTTGTGGACTAACAGTCTTAGGTGTATCCGTATCGACTTACAATCTCGGGTGTTTCGCTGGTGCCATTGCCATTATGCTACTGGGCGATATCCTGGGACGCAGAAAGTCAATCTTGATGGGATCCATCATTATGTCTATTGGGGCCATCCTTCAGGCCTCCTCATTTGGCCTGACACAATTAATTGTTGGGCGTGTCATTTGTGGCATCGGAAATGGCATAAATACTGCCACCGTGCCAGTTTGGCAGACGGAGTGCTCAAAGTCTCATCGACGAGGTCAAACAGTCATGGCAGAACTATCCATTGTCCTATTTGGCGTTGCCTTGAGCTACTGGCTAGATTTTGGCTTCTCTTATCTTGAGCCATCGAGCGTGGCGTGGCGCACCCCGATCGCCTTCCAGCTGATTTTCTCGTTTTTTGTCATCTGCACCATCATGTCAGTCCCAGAATCCCCCAGGTGGCTCATCCTGCGGGGCGAAGATGAAGCGGCAGCAGAAATTATTGGCGCTATCCACGATGTTCCGGCGGATGATGCCTCGATCTCACATGAGCTGCAAGCTATCCGAGCCGCCGTGGTTACGTCTAGGAAGGGGAGCTTCAAAGACCTCTTCGCCACTGGCAAGTCCAAAAATCTTCACAGGACTCTTCTAGCAGTTGGTAAGCATAGAGTTTCTTGTGTTTACCCAAGTGGGCTCTTCATACTAATTTCATGGCCACAGGCATACAAATCCTTCAGCAAGTTACCGGTATCAACCTGATCAGTAAGTGCTTAAGACCAGTAACCCTATCTTGCTCAACTGACGCGTCTGCGAAAAGCCTACTACGCTGCTTCGATTTACGAGAAGGAAATTGGATTATCTGGTTTCATGTCTCGAATATTGGCAGCCTGCAATGGTACCGAGTATTTCCTTGCCACGATTCCTGCCATCTTCTTGGTTGAGAGAGTCGGTCGAAGGCCACTTCTCCTTGTGGGTTCAATCGGAATGGCTGTTTCCATGATCATCCTATCCGTGATGACAAAGCTCGGAGGCACTGCCCCTGGAATAGTCGCAGCCACCTTCCTTTTCATCAACAATACGTTCTTTGCTCTTGGCTGGTGCGGTCTGCCCTGGCTGATTCCGGCGGAGCTTGTGCCCCTGGAAATCCGAGCCCAGGCGAACGCATTAGCAACATCAGCGAACTGGATCTTCAATTTCCTCGTGGTGAGACTCTATGGATTTCTCCACAACATGTGTAGTGGCTAATTTTCATACAGGTAATGATTACCCCGGTATGCTTCTCATCTATCGGCTGGAGAACGTACCTGATCTTTGCCGCCTTCAACGCTGCCTCGATCCCAATTGTATACTTTCTGTACCCCGAAACGACCGGCCGGTCATTGGAAGAGATGGATCTGATTTTCTCCAAATCAGCTGGGCTCTTGGACGTTGTTAAGATCGCCAAGACCGAGCCAAGGCACTATGGCAAGCGGGGAGAGGCCCTTCGAGATCTTGCTGAAGAGGTGTACGACCAAATGCACGGTCAAAAAGACGTTTCCAAGTCAGAAAGTATGCACAAGGAGGTTACCGAGGTCAAATAGTAAGACACCTCAGAAAGATAGGTCGGCAAGTCACTTCCCATAAGGGTTGTGCCTCGCTTCGCAGGCCAACATTTGATCATTCATGACCTCGTCAATGAAGGAAGAATGTCCGGCCTAGCTTCGAACAAGAATAGAGGCGCTGGAGATGCTCCGCTAGCCAGTACTCCAGCATCATTCTAGCTTAGTCGTACGCCATCATCAATCGTATTGCAGACTTTTTGTTTCCTGGCTTATAGCCGCTAGAATGGTGATGTCCTCGAGTATATGTTGAGCCAGAGGGCTAATTCCCTGCTATTCCCTGCCTAGCCCAGCCCTTTAGGCAGTTCTGAGTTAGCAGAAGCCGCCGCTGTTGCTAGCGCCCTTTAGCGCCTGTCAAGATGCGTTAGGTGGGGCGAGCGTTGTCTGTTAGGGACGGACCTGGAGGATTAGGGCCTGCCGTACCCCAGCCAGCTACTAGATTGCGGGGTACCTGAATAAATCGCCTGTAGAGATGCACCAACCCCGTCATTCATCTCCCCCATTCCCAACACCCACGCTATTCTCCCACCTCCTCACGACTACATTCTACAAATGGCATCAAGCAGTTCCCAGGGGAAGAAGCACAAGGCCAGTACTGCTTGCAATACTTGTAGGCAGCGAAAGACTCGATGCGATGGCGAGAAACCTTCCTGTTCATACTGCCGAACAACTGGTGGGCAGTGCGTCTATCGCGTGGTGTATAACGAATCGAGCTCCGTGTAAGTGCCAACACCTGCCCAGCAGCTTCTCTTCCGTTGACCACAAATGACATCCATTGACTATGAACAGCACCGACCAATCAGTACTTGACCGGCTGGCCCGCATCGAAGCCCGACTAGAATCGTTGGACCACCTACCGTCCGAATCGAGTCATGGTTCTCAGCACTTTGAGAGTTCCCTCCCGAGGAGGCCCTTTGGCATAGCAACAAACATACCAGATATTCTGCCCACGATCGACGCTCCAAATATTCAGTGAATATTGAATCCCCTTGTGGCTATACATTGAGCTTGCTGACACGCGATAGTCGCAACGATCAAATGCCTTTGTTTCATACTGCGGCCACCCATAAAATGCTTCACTACTGGCCCCGTGTCAGCATGGCTCTTACAATTAGAGATATTGACCCTCTGAAATACGTCGAAGAAACACATGGCGCGGGTCTGCCACCCCTTGTTCACGACTGCGAGATCGAGGTGGATTTCGAAGTCGTCCAGGCCTTGCTCGGACAGGCCGAACAGAATTGCACTGGCATCGACTACCTCCTCTACGATCTACTTCAGCGCCACTCAAATATCATCACGGTGCTCCGGCAGCCGCTAGCCCCTATCGTCTCATCACCAACCAGCGTAGTTTCTAGGCAGTTCAGCTGCGAACAGCTGCTTACGATCAACCTCGCAGCCCGTCAAGCCCGGAATATACTGGATGGCGAAAGTAAGGCTGTTGCCCAGAAGATCGAGGACTGGTCTTTCCAGTGTGCCAATGCGAAGATCACAGAGTTGTTGTTTAAATCCGATGATGAGTCGGTCCTATTTCTTCTTTTGTGCGCCTACATCCTGATGAGTGATGCATATCCCATAGGGGCTCTCAAGCTGATCCAGGCAGCCGGTGACCGACTTGGACGCTGCAGCCGTAGGTAAGTGTTCCCATTAGGCATTGACGCAGAAATTTCAAATCTACAGCTGCTAAGTAAGGGGCTAGACCTATCAACGATGAATTGTGGAAGGAAAGCTTATACTGTTGTCTTAAGCTACACCATATCATTGAGAGGTAAATCAAACCCCTGCGATCTCACGTAAAACACTAATTTTTTGTTAGCGAAATCCTGCTTACGATGGACGGTCTACCCTCTGAGCCTGTTTCCGCTGCCCTCAACCAAATTTCCTATATCAAGACCTTGAAAGAGGTTGAGACTGGCTACGTTAACCTCTCCGTGGCCGAGATCGCCAAGCTAAAGCTCAGCGAGCATATATCCGAGACGACTTTCGCCATTTGCGGTATTCAGAACAAGGTGCTCACTCAGGTCTATTCGATCGAACAGGCATATTCCAGACCATCAATGCTCGCGCACGCAATCTCAGACCTGAAATCGCAGTTATGCGCATGGTTTGACGCGCTGCCATTGGAATGGCACTTTCCTCGAGATTTGAGTAGCGTCATGTCTATGCCCAGGCCAGCAACGAGTTTCTTGGTATGCGTGTTCCGCCCCAATGATGCCAGGCACTGACTCCTACTTCAGAGACCCTTGAGGATCAAGTACTACATAGTGGAATTTCTAATGTGCCGTCCAGTCTTGTATTACATTGCCCATGAAAGCTTTGAAAACTCAGCCGACCACCCAATAGACTTATCCCCAGGAGAGAGCACAACGTCCCAAGGCAACCATCCTTTCTGGGTATATGATGCTTGTTATCGCTGTTTGCAGTGTGCGGCCTTACTAATTGTCGACGAAAAACCAATGGCCTCTGCAAATCCCGGCCGTTTCCAGAGGGACTGGTTCGAAGTGCACATGTTTGTTCAATCACCCGGAATTCGCAAAGAAGAGAGGCTGATCCCGCACAGGATATGGGGCGCTGCCTTGACATTGGTAGTCGCAGTTGCGACACCGTCGCTTGCCAAGTTTTTGCCCAAACACGGCAATTCAACAGATTCAATGAGCCTCCTAAACTTGGCTGAGGAGATCCTCCAAGCCGCGTCTCAGCAGAGCGGTGTCATCGCTCGCTGCACTGCGTATCTTCGCAACGTCAAGGAAAACATGAACAATAACGATAACGATAATAATAACCCCCTGATGCACGAGGAAGTATTAGATGAGGCTTATCACGATCCAGAGGGCGTTGAGGAGACTATGCTTTAGCTAATTGATTGAAAGTTGTTTCAATTTATATCTACCTAAGATCAGCTCGAGTCGGATAAGGGGAAATACTATTGAAAACTCCATGTCAGTAGGTGTACTGAATATCGGCAACATGGTTCCTGTTGACCTTACACCATCACGACGGCGTCAACTTCTACTCAATTCCAAGCACCTTGGCATCCCTGCCAAGGACTTCCTCGGCATTTTGCCCCTTTGATGGCGCCCAGGACAGCTTGCCCAGAATTGCGAATCTCGATGCACCCCCGGCAGCGGGGATGTTGTTCGCAAGCTGTCGTTTATTGGCATATGCCAGAGTTGCAAACTTGATAGCTTCCTTATAAGCGGCGGGGATGCCGACAGAGTCGCTGACCGTCACCGTCAAGCCATGTTTCCCAATTTCCTCGGCCAGCATAGCCATCAGCGTGATATTGCGAGTACCGCCGCCAGAAGCTATGACTTGTTTAATGGGACCGCGTGGTAGAACGTGCTCGACCAGGCTCCGTGTGATGGAGATGGCAGTAAAGCGTGTAAGCGTCGCAACGATGTCCTCGGTCGATGAAGACGCGTACTGCTCCATGATGGCGTCGGCATAGGCTGCGCCGAAATCCAGGCGCCAGGCCGATCGTGGTGGCTTCCGGGTGTAGAATTCATGCTGGTGAAGCTGGTCAAGGAGAGGTTGGATGATGGAGCCCTTCGAAGCCAGCTCACCATCCTTGTCGTAGCCCCTGTCTGTCCGCACACGGGCAATATGATCGATCATGACATTGCCTGGTCCTGTGTCAAACGCCATCATCTTACTTCTATCCTTATTGGCCAGTTGCAGGTTTGCAATTCCGCCAATATTCAAGGTTACCGTGGGACCATCCTCTCGAAAAGCGACGAAATCGAGGTACTGCATCAGGGGTGCCGCTGAACCACCCAGAGCATGGTCGAGCGGTCTAAATTGAGTGACGGTATCGATGTCCGTGAGCGCCGCGACGACACCTGACTCGGCGATGAAGAAGCCGCAGGGAAATCCGCCCTTTAGCCATCTATCGACAAGACTTTGGCTGCCGCTGAGCACGTATGCCTTCTCCTTCTGCCTGTCGGGAGGCTCTTGGTACACAGTCTGAACCGTCGTAGCCGATAACATCAATATCGGACGCTTTAAGGCCGACTTTGGCGAGCAGGGCGTTGGTCGCCTCCGCGTAGAGTGCGCCAGCCGCATAGTTCACACGGGTCATTTCGAACAAGGACAGTTCGTTGTTGAAAGCCTTAAGAACAGCCGTCTCTAGCTCTGGTGGCCAGTCGACGGTGAGGCCATCCACGTATTCAGGACGCGCGGGGTGGCCATCTTCACTCATTGATATCTTGCATAAGACAGCGTCAACGCCGTCAAATGACGAGCCACTGTTAAGTCCGATGATGTAGGACGACATGATGACGGGGGCTAATATAGATGAACAAGATAAATGGGATGATCTGGGAGTCTGCTCATGGATTCCACTCTTCTACAACGTAGCATCTATATACTTTTTTCTTGTTTTGCATTACACAAGCGGATGAGCTATTCATATGCCCCGCAGTACCTGCAAAGAAGATGGGAACTCCTAATTGCGGGGTGGCCGGAGCCCAGCTCGGGGGTTGTGTCCTGATCCCGAGGAGGTTCTCCGATGTCAGCCCCCACCTAGGCATGCTAACCTCTGGCTTTATGAATCATTGCTCTTGGAGTCGAACGGCTAACCCACATGTAGGTGGTACGTGTTTTGACGGCTCGATGCTGGGTACGCAACTGATAAACTGTTAGATGGTAGGCAAATAAACGAGGTATGGTCGGTTCCAGTTAAAGGTTTTAAGGCAGGGTCAATAATGAAATTGCCTGGAATGTCCATTTCAAATCCTATAGGGCATGCAGAACGGACCAAAGGCGAGGTGTGTCTTGCTTCCAGCTTGTAATGCTATTTTGGTAACAAGATGCCCCGTTAGAGTCTTCTTTTGATATTCCCTGCATTGACTTATTTTTCTCAATATTCATCGTTGTCTAATGCTCTTCTCTGAAATGGCCAAGTTCTCGCAATACGAAGAAGTTAAGGGCTTATCTTTGAATCATTGATCTCTAAAATTGTAACAAACTGGGGCTAGAATTCTTTCGATTGTACCATCTATGTATTCATATGACAGAACTCCATAGTCAATGTTAAGCATACTATAAATGGTTAACTCTTCCTTACTGTGAGCAACAGAGCAACAGAGTACTTATAATCTCGTTTTCAAAGTCACAAATCTCCTTATTTCGATAAACGCACACAAAATCAGGAGTAAGGTCAGTCACAAGCTCCAGGTCACGTTTTTTTGGGTAGACTGACAAATCTCAAAATTCTGTTAGGTTATGAGGTTACAGCAAGGAAGGTCTTTGAATGGAGGGCTGTGCAAGGGCTGTGTCTTGGAAGCTGCGCTTCTGCTGCGCTCTACCTCAACACGGCCAAGCTGCTTTGAGTGGCTCGGTGCTAATAAAGACCTTTTAATTTCGCCGCATAGCCACCACTCCGTCGATCTTTTCTGTTCATGACTCTAAAAAAGGTGCACATCTAGCTGATTGGGCATACGATGGCTGCAACACCGTATGGAATGGTGGGCATTACGGGAGGCGCTGCAGCAATACTACCCAACCAAATCCCCGTGGCAAAAGAGCGAATTTGGCAGACTAGATATTAATTCCATAAAGTCTACGCTCTTGCTAAATAAGTATGGGATAATGTAAGTCAGCCTGCTTAATTCTGTGCTCTTCTAAGACGTAGGTCAAGAGTGCCACTTTGCTACCCCTCCAGCCGTGGTGATCTAACCAGGGCAAAGTACGATTATGCATGCATTTGTTTTCAGTCATTCATACCACATCGGGCAATCAGGGGTACTTGAGATCTTCAGTTGGCCTCAATTCAATGTGGTCTACAGCCAGTGACGATCCCTTTATCCCTCTATGCAACGTACATTGTGGGCGGGGGATACACAGCTAGCAGAAGCCGGCTATGTTATCTATAACTTAAGCCTAAGTTCTAATACCTGCCAGCTTGTTCTCAAGAACAACTACCATATTGTCTTAGCACTATTCCCAGTTATAGAGAGGAGTCACCCAACAAGGCTAGCAAAACCCGTCTTCTTCATGTATGCTTGATTGCTGTATCATCTCAACAATAGCTCAACCACGGCGTTAGAAACCTTCTGAAGACATGGTTCTACTTGAAAGTGACTCGTCGGCTCTGGAGCAGAGTGCGCCTCTAGGGCAGACTCGGTAGTTGGGTGGATTACAGTACTCTTAGTAGACGTCTGAACCTCGGCTGGCGGTTGCGAGGCTAATGTCAGCGGTCAGTAGTCAATAATTGAATGAGTCAAGGGGTCTATAAGGGAGGAGGAGAAGACGAAGGGAGATGAGGATGAACATTTGGTATTGTTGCGCTTGGTATATGGTTTCACACCGGAACGTCCTACAATGGGGCAAAGGCCCCTATCCGCTTGTAGCTAAGTAGATGAAAAGCAAAACCCACGACTACCTAGACCAGAAGGAAATTGGTCCATTCCTTTCCACGAATCTGTTATAGGGATAGATGTTCCTAAAGAACATGAAGTCTCTCCTGAAGTTAAACAATAATAGATTTTTACTATTCGTTTCTCACCCCGTCACCTGCACTTACCACCGTCATCCACAGCCTCTTTGGGATCTTTAGATGAAAGATAAATATCTTGGGGTGTTTCTACTCCTATATGTATAGACCAGTCGAGAATCTAAGTGGTTAGGCTTCTTATCATAGTCCGCGAAGTATCCATGTCCAGTCCTATTGCGATTTAATGGTGTAGGTTAGACCTAGAGAGCTTCCAGACTCCTCTTGAGGCTTTAAGAGAGTCAAAGAATAGAGTGACAGTTACCATTGCTTGGCACCTACTGTTAAGCAAGAAATGTGCGAAAATAAGGATAAGGTTTAAACATGATGTCAAGCTTAAAAATGATAAATTGCCCGACTAATAATGCCATATAAGCCAGGTAGCGGGGAACGCTTTTATCGCCGTGTTATTCTCATTGCGGGCGTTTTGGGCGCCTTATCACCCACCAGGATTAAATTAGCTCTGGCACAGATCGGAAGAAGCCATAGTGACGCGCGTACATGTATCTATGATTTTCACCATTGTCTTTTCCAGTCTTAGGACCTTCCTCTTCGCTCCAAGGCCCCAGAGGCGATAGCCGCAATCGCATCCCAACCACCTTAGTGCCGAAATTGTCCATTGAGACCTGTCTCGGGCTCAGCCAGCCATGTCTGCCCGTACAGCTTCAGCTAGATCTGTGGCTAAAATCTTGATGGAGGCAATTGAACACTGGGTCGCAAATCCGTGGCCTAGGCAATAATAGGCAAGTGGTTATGCTGGCTGAAAACATAGCCAGTTGGATAACACATCAACCAATCAAGCCAGATACACATGTCCAGCATGACGGACAAAGCATCAAGTGCAGCTCATTGTAACCAGAAAACGTGACAACAGGCTACCAGGATCGCGTCGACGGCAGGCGCCGCACGGTACCGGCAGTAGTCCCTTGGCTTCCATCACGATGCAGACGCGAGTCTTGGATCTCGCGCCATTGAGCAGCAGCAGCCTCAACAGGTGGCGGAGACTGGCCCTCAGATTGGACACAAGGTAAATGCTAAGGTTAAAACTCAAAAACAATCCCATCAGACCATCCACCGACCTTGGCGAGAGATAGCGGCCAACGAGAGGAGAAATTGCCCCCCGCAACCACCCAACCCCCTGCAGAAATAGTGAATGCCCAGGACCCTTTGTTCGCCTCTTGCGGCCTCTAGCCCTCAATCTGGTGCAGATTGGCAATCCCGCCCCAGCTGTTTGTCCACTCGGCGGCGAGGACGATATGCTCCATGCTCTGGAGCAGCCTGAAGGACACCGGAGGAAGCGTCCACAGAGCTTATCCAGGGTTTCACCATCCCAATCCAGTCCTTCGTCTCCCCCGCTGCACTCTGCGGCTGCCAGCTGAGTGGTCAATCACTCCCACGTTTGTGCCGGGCAGCTTGGCCTCCCTTGTCACCGACGGCGCTGCTGTTGAGTCCATCCACATCATCCCATTGTCTTGGAACGGTGCGTAAGGTGCGGGCCTTCGGTGCAACCTCGCCGTCAGCACTGGATCAACTGCGAGAAATCCACCGGCCCCGATATCGATCCTGCTGGTCTGAGCTTGCTGGCCTCCACCCGTTCGCTCCAGCCTGTCATGGCGATTGCTGTTAAATAAATACCTTCCTCTTCCTTTTTCTAGTTTTGCTCCGCCAGTACTCATCTACCAACAGCCCAATTCGCCTTGATCCGGCTTGTCTGTGGGGTGACCATGAAGTCTACACTCTCCCTTGTCGCGCTCACTTCGCTCGTCGGCTCAACCATAGCCGACGACTACCTGTTCAGCAGCCGCTATGCCTTGAACAAGCGTGATATCGACTCCGAGGGCAACTGGAACGTCTGTATGTACATCTTATCACGAATACTTGAACGAATTGCACTGACGGTCTCTGGCACTAGCCTTCTTCCATATCAACGATGTCCATGCCCATTTGGATGAGTTCTCCTCATCCGGCACTGACTGCACCAATCCAGCAAAGGGCTGCTACGGTGGCTACTCCCGCATCAAGTCCAAGGTCAATGAGCTTCAGGCAGCTCACCCCGACAGCATGTGGATCAACGCGGGAGATGAGTTCCAAGGCACCATGTTCTACAGCTACTACGGTGGCGAGAAGATTGCCGAGGTGCTCAACGACCTCGAGTTCGACATCATGACCCTCGGAAACCACGAGTGGGACGGCGGCGAGACCAAGCTGGGTGCCTTTCTCTCCAACCTGACTTTCCCCATCGTCTCTTCCAACGTCAAGTCGGAGAACCCTGCGCTTAAGCCCCATATCAAGTCCTACCAGGTCTGGGAGGACAAGAATCTCGCCATCATCGGCGCGACTTCCGCGGACACCCCTTCCATCTCAAGTGTAGGCAACCAGACCACGTTCGAGGACCCCATCAAGACGATCCAGGAGGCAGTCTACGAGATCCGCAACAACACCAAGGTCAAGTACATCGTCGCCCTGACACACATTGGCTACGACGTCGACCAGAAGCTCGCCGCCGAAACCGAAGGCATCGACCTCATCATCGGCGCCCACAGCCACACCCTCCTGGGCGACATGGAGGGCGCCGAGGGCAAGTACCCCACCATCGTCAACAACACCAAGGGCGAGGAGGTCTTCATCGTCACCTCGTACCGCTGGGGCGAGTACCTGGGCTCCATCAACCTCCTCTTCGACAAGGACGGCAGGATCACCGGCTACCACGGCGCCCCCATCCACCTGACCAACCAGACCGCCCAGGACCAGGCCCTCCAGGCCAAGATCGACGAGTGGCGCGTGCCCTTCGAGGCCTTCGCCGCCGAGGTCATCGGCTCGACCACCGTCGCCCTCGACCAGACAAAGTGCAAGACGGGCGACTGCCTCCTCGGCCAGGTCATGGCCGACGCCATGTACGAGTACCGCGCCAACCAGACCGAGGGCGACAGGAAGCCCGACTTCGCCTTCCACAACTCGGGCGGCGTCCGCGCCACCATCGACGAGGGCGACATCACCCGCGGCGAGGTCCTGACCTCCTTCCCCTTCGGCAACGCCATGGTCGAGCTGACCTTCTCCGGCGCCGACCTCCGCAAGGTCTTCGAGGGCCTCGTCTCCGCCACCAGCCAGTTCAACGGCAAGGCCGTCAGCTCCTGGTTCCAGGTCTCCAGCTCCGTCCACGTCGAGCACAACCCGGCCAACGACGCGGGTAAGCGCCTCGTCAAGGTGACCATCGGCGGCGAGGACCTCGACGACGCCCGCGAGTACCGCCTCGTCACCCTCGACTTCCTCGCCGGCGGGGGGGACAACATCCTCGAGAAGCAGAGCGGGTTCGCGGTCCTCGACCTGCAGGAGGACGTGCTGAACCAGTACATCAAGGCGCACACCCCCATGAGCCCGACGCTCCAGGAGCGCGTCGTCAAGACGGACGGCCAGGCCTCGAACAACTCGAACAGCACCGGCGGCGGGTCCGGCGACGAGGGCAGCGGGAGCGGCATGGTTGCTGTGTCTGTCTGGACCGCGGTTGCTGCCGGCTTGATGTTCGCGGTTGCTCTGTAGATGTGGGATGACGAAATATACCAAGAATGAATCCTGGGCAGTGGCCAGGATTATGACTATTATAATTAATTATATATCCTTCAGGGATGAATTAATAAAAATTTCAAAAATCAGCTTCAATCTTCCCGAAATAATAGAATTTGCTGATAATATCAGCCAACCTGATCACGTACGAGCCAGCGGCATTATTCGAGAGAGAGTCCAGTCACATTCACATCTCACACCTGATGATCACAGTCCCAACATGAGCCCCAACAATCACACATGTGCAATCCATCCATTACCGGTGGAACAAGTACATCCTATTCTCCTGGTACGCAGCGATGAACAAGCACATGGGCCCCCCCGTCACACAGAATGGCCCCTCCCGCCTCGAGTCCCATCAGCCCAGCCAGAGGCAGCACCCACTCCCTGATTCGAAGCCAGAGGCGTCGACGAGCCGCTCGTCTCCTCCCCGTCCCTACATTCTCTCCCCTCGTCTGCCAGATCCCCCGTCGCCTCAAGCCCACCGGCGGCGTCCTTCCGCTCTTCCTCTTCTTCTTCCACCCCCGCGCGGTGATGCAGCCCGCCCTGCCGCCGTCCAAAGGGAGAGGCATGCCCCCATCTCGTGCTAACACTGCGCTGCTCGTCGTCAACGATGAACCCCCGCGGGCCACCACCGCCGCGCGCGGGCCCCGGCTCAAACCTGTTCTGGAACGTCCCATACGACCAGTCGACGTTGCGGAAGACGGGGCGGTCCGGGACGCTCGCGATGCGGTAGGCGTTCTCTACGCTGCTACGGGTGGAAGGGTAGTAGAGCGAGCGGCGGCGCGGAGGAGGCTGCTGCTGAGGCTGCCAGTACCGCAGGGCGGCCACGACGGCCGCGAGGAGGGCCGCGAGGGCCAGCGTGACCAGCAGGGCGATGAACAGCGCTGCCTGGAAGGCGTCTTGGATGTCCGGCATGGCTCTTTGCGTTGCGAACATGAAGTCTTTTCATCTGGTTCGGGGGGAGGGGGATAAGGAAAAAGGAGGGAAGGAAGAGTTTAAACTTCACGATCACGGAAGATTTTAAGACAATGGAGGGGAAAGTCACACTCGCGGGCAATTATTCAGAGTCATTAAAAACTGTGATAAGGTTTCCCCCCTGGGTATGTACTATGGCCCTGCTCTCTTTGCCACAGGATAAGAAGAAAGTTTGCTTCGTGAGCCATTGCCCTCAACGCCATCTGATCAGTAGGTGTAACGGAAGTCGGGAGTTGCGTCCTCCTATTCAGCCAAATGGTTAGCCCAACAACTTTCTCAAAAAGCAGGTGACAAAGTCATGGGGTTTATAAAGTACGGGAGGGTCGAGGATGAGGATGAGAGAGGAATATAAACTTACGTCATAAGCCTCCAGCAGCTTCTCGCCGCGGTCGGCCTTTCTATTCTGGCGCCTGAACTCCAGGGTGACAAGGAGGACAAGGAGGACGTTGAGGGCGGCACAGGCGATGCAGGCGTACATCCCCGGCTTGTACCCCGTCGTCTTGTCCTGGTCCCGGAACACGAGGCTGCCGGCGATGCCACCGACGCCGCCGAAGCCGACCATGGTGGCGCTGCAGAAGGCGCGCTTCCACTGGCCGCGCAGGTTGTTGGCCTGGAAGGTCATGACGGCGGGCACGTTGGCGTTGGCCCCTGCGGTGACGAAGAAGACGCCGAGGTAGCGGATCCGGGTGGAGGCGGTCCAGCCCATGAGTGGCAGGCCGATGAGGGCGAGGAGCATGTTGAAGACGATGACGGGGCCCCGGAGGCGGTACTTGTCGCTGAGCCAGGCGCCCGTGAACATGACGATGCCGGCGAAGGCGTAGGGGGGCGCGACGAGGCACTGGGCAGCGCCGACGCTGAAGCCCATGCTCTGCACGAGGAGGATGGGCAGGGTGTACGCCAGGCTATAGCTGATGGTGGTGGTGTTGAAGAACATGAGGGCGTACGCCCAGATCTTCCAGTCGGTGCCTCCGCGGAGGAACTTGCTGAGCTTGAAGGGCTCGACCGTGGCGTCACCGCGGTCGCGGGCGATGCGGGCGACGATCCAGTCTCGCTCACGCTGGCCAAGGAAGGACCAGTTCTTTCTGGTAGAGTCGGGGAAGTCGACGAGGAGCCAGTAAGCGCCCAGTCCGAGCGCGCAGGTCAGGGCACCTTCGATGATGAAGATCCAGCGCCACCCGGTAAGGCCCTCACGGCCATGCAATTGCATGAGCTATGTGAGATGTCAGTCATGTCGCCCAGTTTACGCCAAGTATTCAGAGATACGCACCCCATATGCCAGAATTCCGGAAAAGGCGCTCGCAACACAGCCAAGGAGGTAGAATAGGGAGTACCTCTTGCCCACCTCGACTGCATGACATATTAGCATAGCTGTCGTGTGACCTTGTAAGTAAGCTTACTTACATCGTGTGTACCAGGTGCTCAGCAAGTAAACACAGCTGGGGAAGAAGCCGGCTTCCAGAAGACCCAAGACGGCTCGCAGACCACTCAACGCATTGTGGTCCTTGACGAAGCCCATGCCGATCATGACGGCGCCCCAGAGTGCCGTGATGGCGGACAGGTGGATTCGAGGACCGATTTTACGGATGAGGATCGTTGAGGGGGGCTGGAAGAGGATGTATGGGATGAAGAAGACGAGATTGGCGATGTTCTGTGTCTGAGATCAGCTTACTTGCTCTTCGGGAGTCAATTGTCTCTCCAGACACGGAGGGGAAATGGTGGAAAGGGCAAAGTCTGAGAAGGAAAGGGCCGCTTCATACATATCTGAATCCTGTGAGGACGAGTTCCTGGCCCATACCCGCAATATTGGCCGCGCTCATGTTTGTGCGATCCATCAAGCTGATGCAGTAAAGCTAATGCTCGTCAGAATCAATCATCATTCGCGACGGTGATTGGGAGTGACTTACAACACCCAGCGTGACCACCAGACGGCGGTCGATCCGGCGGACGATCCGGCGCTGCTCACTTGGGGAAAATCCATGATCATCTGGAGTGTCAGAGCTGACGGTTCCGTCCACATGTTGGACATCACCGTCTCGCTTCTCGAAATCGTTACTACTCGTTTGTCGATCCATTGCGGAGGGGTCTCCAATGGCAGTCTACTAGAGACGGCAAGGGAGAGAAGAGTTGTCTGTGGGCAGGAGGTGTTGCAACTTTAAACCAGAATAGAAGAGTTGGAAAAACTAGTGAAACAGGGAATCCCAGCCCAGAAATTGGAGAAGGATTGCTACCGTTGAAACCCAATTGATCTCCTGTGTAGGCTCAAGGGAATCTGGGAGAAAACAAGGAGGGGGATCGTCGACCTCATATAGAAAACCCTGCCGGGGGGGGATGGATGAGAGGCAGACACAAACCCCCTCCCCGAAGTCACCGAGCATGCTGGATGAACATGCTGTCCTGCAGGCAAACTGAGGAAAACCCACAACACCTCCGGGGGTATCAGGGCAAGCCGCAAGACGGCCAGCGCTGGAGTAGAGACGCGTTACGCCGTCGACTGCTGGGGTTGGAGTGCATAATCTCTCGGGAGAGGCGAAGGAAGTCGGTGCCAATCTCCATATCTGGCACGACCTCATGGGTCCTTGCATCGAGGGGAGGATCCCAGCCCTCTCCCCCGCACGGAGGCTGGTCGGATGAGGCAAGGTCTGTCTGTACTGATGGGCATCATGTGGTCTGTGGGTTGGCACACCGCACCAGATATGCCCAGCAGTGGCCTTGGGAAGCAAGTTGAGAATGAGATCGCGTGGCCTAGCTTCGGAAGGGGGTTTCCAGAACGGGAGATCCAACGCCACCCTCGGCATCTTTTCAGAGGGACAGCAAATAACCTTCAGCTACGGCGTCCGCCAAGGCACGTATCTGACCTAGAGGCTGAGGGAGGGCTCCAGGCCAATAATCTTGGCTCTGCATGGCACAGGCTCCGTCTCTAGCTTGCGGGGTAAAGGAGGGATTCGGTCGTACTGTATCACGGTAATGGGTCCCGGTAGATTCCCCAGCCTCAGGGATCAATCAGGGCCAGTCTAATTGCAATGCATCCAAGATGGCCAATAGTTGGGATTACTCGGCGTCGAGAGGCGAGGTGCCAACGCAGTGTGCTGCCTCCAAGTGTTGTGTAATCTTGCAATCTTGCATGTTTTTATTGGATTTTAAAGCCACAGCGACGCCTTTGTCTCGGATCCGTGTTCAGCACGTAAAAATGACCGGGATCTTGCTTGGCAGCTTTGAGGGGGTGATTGACATGTTTCCGAGCGGCGCGGCCACACCGGACATGTCGTGGCATCTGAGCGGTAACTCCAAGTTTTGTTCAGAATAGGGACGGGGACAATTCTGTATTCCGAGTCATCTACCAGGAGAATCTTAAATCTGGTCATCATCTACTCAACGATGCCCAGCTCAACCACGACACGGAGCAATAAGCTGGGGTACATGTACCTACACTTAGCCGGTACCCCGCTGGCCCTTCCCCAGATTATGGCGCCGGCTATTAATTGTCTCTTGTCACCACTAGATCAACAATAAGAACCTAACCAGCACAACCAACAACACACTCACACAAACTCAACACGAGAAGCCGTCATTGAATCCCAGCCGCAAGCCTCCATCCCTCACCAAGCCTAGCGCGCACTCCAAATCCAACCTCCATGACTTGTCACCAACCCTCACTCCAAGGCCAAGCCTGGCAAACTCCACCCCCGCAAGGAGTGAATATCCATCCCGCGCGCGTGCAAAAGCCCACCCCTACTCAATATGTACTCCACATGCAGTCCAGGTTGCGATTGGCGCAATCCCTCAACAAAGGATCAGAGGTCTGACAGTGCAGTGCAGCAAGGGACAGGGAGGGCGGTAAAGGTCAAAGGCCCTGCTGCTAATGCAAGGCCTATGTACAGCACAGCGCGATGTCAAGTCTAGACCACCACTTGGATGCTTCATCAGCCGCTAGTTCGATTGTGTACGTCACCTTGTGCATAACCGTCTGAAATCCGAGACGATGCCTCGGCTCGTGTAAGATGGGATGGGCAATCATGCAGGTCATCTTCTCCAAAATGAAACCCAAAAAATAAGGTGAGGAAGAGTGACTCTCGCGGAGACAGGGAGTCCGATACACGGCGGCCGATTCCACGGAGGGACCCTAACAACCCAGGTTTCAGGCTGGCTTAGACCTGCTCAACGCAGCTTGGATTGTCACTCTGAAAACTCATCAGTGAGGATCCCTTTATGACTTGTCTATTCAGATCCAGCCTATCCCGGCATTGGCTTTCTACCGCCACTTCCTTCTGCCTGTCTTGTTCAACCCTCTTCCATGCCGCCAAGGATATCAATCTCACAATCCCTGCTCCAGAAAACACCCAAAATGCACACGTTTGCTAGATGAAATTTGGGGAAAATCAAGTGCCTGGCGATGCTACCATGAAAACAACCATCAGCAACCACCCACCCATTGCGCCCCACCCATCCATCGCTCTGCCTCCCTCCAGCATGCAAACCATTCACCAAATCGCAAGCTCATCCGTTTCGGGACTGGAGACGCCATCATTCCATCCCTCCTCGACCCTTATCATCCTATAACGTCGTATTATCGCTAAATCGGAAAGTCGACACGAAAGCCCACACCTTGCGAACATTGTTCCACAGTAACCCGACGAGTCCCACCACGGTAAAGACCTCCAGAATCTCCCAAGGTTTCCGGGTCTTGACCAAGGTCTCGATGTAATCGACCTCGGAACCTGCCATCGGAGGGAATCGGCCGTTGGTCATGTACTCCTCCATGAGCGCATCTTTCTTGTACCACTCCGCTCGGAGCCAGAGGTTGAATTTCTCCGGATCGTCGAGGGGAATATCGGCAATCTTGAAACGGCGCCAGTGAAAGTTGACTGACTTTGGAGGCTTCCCCTCAAAGTATGTGCTCTTGAGGCCGAAAAGTTCCTCGCCAAACTTGCCTCGGCTGAAGT